AAATAAAAATAATTCCAATTTATCCAAATGCTACTACATTTTCTATAATACGAGAATAAGTGACTTACTTCAAACTCCTTCACTAAGAACTCCACACTATTGAGCCGAATATATTTTCTGCGTTGCGAGAGTTTGTGTTCAAAACTTTTTCTCGCATGAAGAAAATGAGATGCAGTTTTTCAAAGTTTCGTCTATAATTTCTCATTCTCAAAGTCCACTTTTCCCGAATAACAATTCTTCATGGAACTATAAGTGTGTAAGACTACGGAACGCAAGAGATCTCTGGTCTGTCGAGCCACTCGTTTTATTGAACCTCGTCTTAGACGTTTTATACAATTAAGTGTCAGATCTAACTACACAAACTAGAGCAGAGTCAGGCTGACCAGAAGGACTCTCCTTGGTCGGTGTTACTATCAGTCGGGATTCCTTACTCGGCAACTGTCCTTACTTAGGTCTGTACCTCCCAGTACAACCCGAATTGCAGCCTTAGCCTTGTTCACAACTAAATACAATATTGAATGCACAGAAATAGTTAAATTATTCGTCCTTATATAACCAGGTATATAAACCAATCTGAACGGAATTCTTTTCACATCACGTATCTAGACAAGTTCAACATTGGTGGTTTGAATGTTTAGGCTAATTTGAAAGAGTTAACTCCAAGTAGATCTCCAAGTCAAAACAGTCTCGGTTACTAAAGTAAACATCCTAGACTTGCAGAATCATATGACAAAAATCATATTCATGTAAACAAAACATTCCTAAAATTCTGTTGCATAACTAGTGCAATATATCTTAGCTATCAGTTCTGTAGATTTGGGTCGAGTTTTTGACACTTTTAATTACAATTTTCAAAAGTTTGACCAAGCTGTTTGAGTAAATTCAGTTTCGTCGTGAATTTCAAAACTTTGTTAGAGTCGGACGCCACGTTGACTCAGTTCAAACATGTCCATTTTTGGCAATGAAATATAAGGACCTTTTGTTCTTGGTCAATAGAGTTGTGAGGTCAAGGCTATTGGTTCGAATCGGTTTGAACAATCTTGCCGTTAGCAAACTAATATTGGAAACTACGATTTCCATTTAACAAATCGAAGTCAGTTTTCTATGGGTCTGTACTGAAATTGAACATTAAATGACGTCAAAAAATGATCCAAACTCAAGTGTAACTACGAGCGCAGCGAGTGGTTTCACTGCAAAGTTTGGATCATTTTTCCACGCGAAGGTTTTGAAAATTCATAAAGATTAGATAACCTGAGGGTAAAATAGGAAAGAGTGTAGAATATTTAAATAAGCAAATAAATTATACAAAAACGTTTTGGTGAGTAGCGCTGAAAGTTTCAAGTATTCAAATATTCTAAAACTCTGTTTGGGTATTCAAATATTCTAAAACTCTTTTTGAGTTAAAAATAAATGAAAATATCCCGAAATATATATACTATGGGCAATTGGTCGAATAGTAAATTATCATACACTTAATGTCTGGTCGCTAGGGAAATAGTTTTGTTTCCGAGAGTCTCGATGTGAAACATCTAGACTCGAGGGAAAACAAAACTAACTAATTTCCCGAGGGACCAGATATTAAGTGTTTTGTTATATAGCAATTAAGAAATATTGAGAAGTCAGTTTACGAAATAAGACCTTTATTTAGCAAGCTAAATGCATGAAAACTGACAATGATTTTGCAAATACAACTCACATACGGTCTTGTATTTCTCTACCAAAAAGCGAGGAGAGTAGCAACAGCATTTTTAGTCGCTATTTTCGTATTTTCCGAATCCTTTTTCTCAATAAAAGTCTGTAATTTCTCTGTAGAAACACTGGAAAATCTCTACTGTTTCGCTTCGAGCTCCATTTGTACTGAAAATTCAAGCAAAATATCTGCTCCCGCTCTGTTCTTGGATTAGAATATGTTCAAACTTGTCCTACGTGTCTAAAACTTGTAAATAAAGAATTAGATCAAATACCGAGTCAACTGAATCTGGACCGGGTTGGTGGGATTCTTGGTATTTTGAAAATCCAGGAACTAGAGCCGTGCAGAGTGAATAAGCTTCTGAGAATAAGCCTTATGAAGCATTCAATGCAAATTTAGTAATTTCTAACTCATAAATTTCAATTACAAATTCATATATTTTGCATGGTTAATAAATATTCATTCTAAAATGCATGAATATTTAATGAGGAGAAAACAAAGCAAATCACTACTGTGACGGTGATTTGGAAATGTGTTCTTAATTTGCATTAAATTTCGTAAACTTTTTCTGCGCCTCGTTTTTTCAACTCACTTTTCAGTGTTTGGAAATTGAAGAAAGAACTCTCTCGCGTGTTTGAAATATTACATCTATGCATTGATCAATTTTTCTAAAGTGCGTATGTTTAGGATAATTAGATAATTGGAATTTCAAAAATTTCAAGAACTTTTGTAAACTTCATTGGAAATGTTTAAATCATCCATCCTTATTGTTTACATCTTGCCTTCGATCAAAGAAAAATAACCAGTCTCTAATCAACTCTTCAAAAATGAGAAAAGTCTTTTGACTTTTATAACAATTTGTTTTATATAACGGCTTTACAGATAAAGCTTGAATCAGTGATTTATAGTGTACCTTTTTATATAAAAATACATACTCATATTTAATTACATACATACATACATACATGCATATATATACATACATACACACTTTGTTATTATAACTCCCAAAGGGGTACTTCCGCTATAAATGCTAAAAAATACTAAAAATAAGTAAAACAAAAATAAATAGTAAATAATTATAAAATACTATTATAAGAATTAAAATTTTTAAAGTATAATGGTAATCAATAAAAGGGAAAATATCTACACGTTAAATAAGTTATTCTTAAAAATTTTCGTGTCACTGATTTGCTTAATATCATTTGGGAGATCATTATACAACTTAGCACCGGCCTCGAAAGGCAAATGATCGCTGTCCTGTTTTTAATATACATTTTGGTAGATTCAATTCATCTCTTTTTCTAGTATTTCTACCGTGTGTTTTTGAGCGTTTTATAAATGTATCACTTAGATAACTCGGCATTTGCTCATGTAAACATTTATGAACAATTACTAAATCGTTTAAAAGCAATTTACCTTTCACACTTAGCCAATTCAAAAGTTTGAGGCCTTCAGTAATATGGTCATACTTTTTCAAACCTAAGATAATCCTGCATGCAAAATTTCGAACTAATTGATTAAATACTTGATATGAAATTACTAAATAACACCAACTGGAATAAATTTTGTTGAATATATATACAAATATCAGAAAGGTTTGGCGGGACAATGAGATAAAGAAGGCCATCGTGAGGAGAGGTTAGAGCCTTACAAATATCTCAAAATAATCAATAATTATAACTAAACAACTCAAAATATAAATAATTTTAGGTATGATAAACAGCGTAAGGCTTACCTTAAATCGAGTGCAGAGAAGAGATTGTAAATTGAAGGCTTGATCTGAGTTGGATGATATTCCAACTAAACTTTCTGGATGCTTTCAGAGCTTCATTCCAAGTAATATGACAACTCCAAAGAGCTCACGCAAGTAGATATGAAATTAGACTTCTGCACCCGGAAGGCTCCGGAGCAATGATACCGGAACAAGGTGCTCTCCTCCAGACATTACTCCGGGCCCGTAATAGCGGTGACGTCATAGCTATTCTCATTCGGCATCAGCGCGACGAAGAGTCCAAATTCCGCAGCCCGTGGTTATTTCACGCATTCCGATACTCCCGGGGATCACTATCGACAACCTAATTGGCTTGAGTATAAATACGAGTTATCAGCATGAATATTCTTACTAACCCGTGTTTCTATCGGAGGGGCCACGGGCCCGTAGGGGGAGGGGTGGTCCGCCATATCTATTTTTAGTTTGTTGGATTGTACCATAATAACGACGTCATACGATATGAGAACCTATTAAGAGCCGTTTCGGTAACGATAGCAACTCCGGAGCAATATCCCCGAACCCCTCCAGATAGCTGGACAGGTCATGACTAATTTCATTTGTGTTTCCTAGTTGAGTCCCGGCACAAACGAACAATACATTGAGGCTTGCCCGAGCTAGCCTAAGCAACAACGGCAAACACGTTTTCCAAAAATCCTTTATTTATTTATTCATAAAACGTTCAATGCATGTGAATACAAAAGAAGATAACTTGTCCTTGAAACTATTTTCATTATTCAACTAAGTACGATGATTTGATGGCCAGTATATATTTGCTTGTACGCAAGTCTGGAGTGTTATGTCTTTACAAAAACACTGCAATATATACCCAAAAACAAAATGCTGCTGTTAATAAACTCGTTTTTTCACCCATACTAACTAGACTATCTATTTACATTAGGTGTGTGAGATCTATCAAGAGAACCCCTACAGAACCCCCACAGAACCCTTAGAGAACCCCTGGGTCGACCTTTCATACGGAAAGAAATTTCAGAGCTTTTTTAGTTTTCGTGATTACCAGCTGGATTCGCCTCAGTGCAACTGTCGCTGCGATATTCAGATGATGAATAAACGTTATGTATCATGACAAATTTGATTATATTATATTTATTTCGATCTCATATTTGCGAGAAATGTTTGAAAATATTTTAGTTATACTCGAAATTTGCTAAGTCGCCCAAACTCGTAAATTATGACCTCTGATCGGGTAGAAGATCATGCAGACAATAATTATTATCAGACGTGAATTTGTTAAACTCGCTTTATTGTTCATCGTATACTGTACAAACAAAGTCTGTGGAATACAGTAAACTCAAGCCACACGTTTTTTTCCTTCTGTTTTCAAAAAAAATTGATCTCCGTTATAGCTACCTTAGAATTTTTCCCACTTGGTTATTGACTTTGTGACCGCTCTCAATCGTTCTGAACGCGTGGAGGCTTTACTACATATCTATATTTATGAGCATCTTCATGAACTTATCCACTTGACTGGTTTTTCTTTACTTGGTGGTGGAGTGGGTAAGAAATATATTGGGGGTGGTAGAGTCTATGCTCTGGGAGTGGTGAAGGGTGCAGTAGGAGAGGATTGATCAAAACTAGTAGCGGGTTTTAGTGGAGTAGGAGGAACCCTAAAGTTGAAGCGAAGTTGAGGATTTCGCTCGACTGAGTTCGAAAGAAGGGGTCCTAATTTTCGACGTTAACTTTTCTAGAAAGGAAGGGGTCTTAGTGATTCGTTCGGCTGTCTACGTAGAACCGATTTGGAAGCGACGGACCTGGAAATGGTTTGTGTTGAACTGAATTTTATAGGATCTTCTAAAACCCTCTTGACTACCGTATACATGCCCCCTGACTCCAGACCTAGCTATGACTTCGTATTTATTGAATACTTATCAAAATTTCTCGACAACCAGTCTCGCTTACTCAATCGTAGTACCGTATTTCTTGGAGACCTTAACTATCCATACATCAAGTACATTGAGGGTTGCGGTATCTCAAACTCTTTGAATTCTGCTGACTTCGCACTTTGAGAGTTACTGAAAGATCACTCATTGCACCAATTGAACACACTTCCTACGCGAAAGGGAAACCTGCTTGACCTTGTGATATTCAATGAGCCGGACCGTATTGCGAATATCGACCTGCTTACAGTAGCTGAGGCTGGCCTGTGTACGGATCATGATCTCCTTGAGTTCGACCTACTTGCGCCAAAAGCGGATCCAGGGGGGGGGGGGGTGCAAAGGGTGGCTGAAGCTCCACCCTTCAGCAGAAAAAAACGATGCTTTTTTACTTGTTTTCCGTTGTGTTGACGGAAGAAACTCAATTAGCCCCCCTAAATTCAATTAGCCCCCCCCCCTCCCTAATATTTTGGCTGGATCCGCCCTTGTGCGCACCACCGCATCGCGTCACAAAGGCCACACCTATAGTCTACAACTTCAGGGAAGCAAATCTGGATTCTCTTCGCGTGGACAATAGCGAAAGCGCTGTCCATGCTGAATTACTCTGTCGCCGAAACGTCTGATGTGGACAGCTGTTGGCTTCGTTTGGGAAAAAACGAACTTCTGCGAATATTGGGCATGCATGTCCCATGGCGTAAAATACACCCCCTGCATTTATAAGGAGGTGTGAAACCTCAAAAAAAAGGAAACTATAAAGAAAATAAGAAAAGAAAA